TGTGTACGTGTAACCTAATGGCGTACCAGTAACCTAATGTCGTACCAGTAATCCAATGTCATGCCAGTAATCCAATGTCATGCCAGTAACCTAATGTCATACCAGTAATCCAATGTCATACCAATAACCCAATGTCGTACCAGTAACCTAACGTCGTACCAATAACCTAATGTCGTACCATTAATCCAATGCCACACCAGTAATCCAATGTCGCACCAGTAACCTAATGTCTTACCAGTAATCCAATGTCATGCCAGTAATCCAATGTCATACAAGTAATCCAATGTCATGCCAGTAATCCAATGTCATACAAGTAATCCAATGTCATGCCAGTAATCCAATGTCGTACCAGCAACCCAATGTCGTACCAGTAACCTAATGTCGTAAAAATAACCCAATGTCGTACCAGTAATCCAATGTCATGCCAGTAACCCAATGTCATGCCAGTAACCTAATGTCATGCCAGTAATCCAATGTCGTAACAGTAACCTAATGTCTTACCAGTAATCAAATGTCATGCCAGTATACCAATGTCGTACCAGTAACCTAATGTCGTACCAGTAATCCAATGTCATGCCAGTAACCCAATGTCATGCCAGTAACCTAATGTCATGCCAGTAATCCAATGTCGTAGCAGTAACCTAATGTCGCACCAGTAACCCATTGCCGTACCAGTAATCCAATGTATTGCCAGTAATCCAATGTCATGTCAGTAATCCAATGTCGTACCAGTAACCGAATGTCGTACCAGTAACCTAATGTCGTACCAGTAATCCAATGTCATACCAGTAATCCAATGTCATATCAGTAATCCAATGTCATGCCAGTAATCCAATGTCGTACCAGTAATCCCATGTCGTACCAGTAACCCAATGTCGTTCCAGTAACCCAATGTCATGCCAGTAATCCAATGTTGTACCAGTAATCCAATGTCGTAGCAGTAACCTAATGTCGTACCTGCAATCAAATGTCGTACCAGTAACCCAATGTCGTACCAGTAACCCAATGTCATGCCAGTAATCCAATGTTGTACCAGCAACCCAATGTCGTACCAGTAACCTAATGTCGTACCAATAACCTAATGTCGTACCAGTAATCCAATGTCATGCCAGTAACCTAATGTTGTGCCAGTTAACCAATGTCGTAGCAGTAACCTAATGTCGCACCAGTAACCCAATGTCGTACCAGTAATCCAGTGTATCGCCAGTAATCCAATGTCATGTCAGTAATCCAATGTCGTACCAGTAACGCAATGTCGTACCAGTAACCCAATGTCGTACCAGTAACCTAATGTCGTGCCAGTAATCCAATGTCATACCAGTAATCCAATGTCATATCAGTAATCCAATGTCATACCAGTAATCCAATGTCATGCCAGTAATCCAATGTCATACCAGTAATCCAATGTAATATCAGTAATTCAATGTCATACCAGTAATCCAATGTCATGCCAGTAACCCAATGTCTTACCAGTAATCCAATGTCATGCCAGTAATCCAATGTCATATTAGTAATCCATTGTCATACCAGTAATCCAATGTCATGCCAGTAATCCAATGTCATACCAGTAATCCAATGTCATGCCAATAATCCAATGTCGTACCAGTAACCCAATGTCATGCCAGTAACCCAATGTCATATCAGTAATCCAATGTCGTACCAGTAACCCAATGTCATGCCAATAATCCAATGTCGTACCAGTAACCCAATGTCATGCCAATAATCCAATGTCATGCTAGTAACTCAATGTCATGCCAATAATCCAATGTCGTACCAGTAACCCAATGTCGTGCCAGTAATCCAATGTCGTACCAGTAACCTAATGTCGTACCAGTAATCCAATGTCATATCAGTAACCCAATGTCGTACCAGTAATCCAATGTCATGCCAGTAACTCAATGTCATACCAGTAACCCAATGTCGTACCAGTAACCCAATGTCATACCAGTAATCCAATGTCATACCAGTAATCCAATGTCATGCCAATAATCCAATGTCATGCCAGTAACCTAATGTACACCAGTAACCCAATGTCATACCAGTATTCCAATGTCGTACCAGTAACCCTATGTCATACCAGTAATCCAATGTCGTACCAGTAACCCAATTTCATACCAGTAATCCAATGTCATGCCAGTAACTCAATGTCATGCCAGTAATCCAATGTCATACCAGTATTCCAATGTCGTACCAGTAACCCTATGTCATACCAGTAATCCATTGTCGTACCAGTAACCCAATGTCGTACCAGTAATCCAATGTCATGCCAGTAACTCAATGTCATACCAGTAACGAAGTGTTCAGTATTATTGTTATTCACATTCAAACCAATTTGTATGCCTCTGCAAGTAATGTATTATATTTAATTGGTTATACTGTATTTGATTAACTATTTGTCCACACTTGAAACTAAAATATTTGTCTAGGTTTTTTAGACATGATATGTTTGTGTGAATACCGGGGTCTTGGTTGGCGAAAGATGGGACCAAGTTGAAATGCGTCTCGGTTATGTTTTATCTAAAGTGATTGATCATAGTTATATTACTTTGTTGTTCAAAGTTCTTTCCTTCATCTCTATATTTGTAAATTCCAAATGGCAGTTGAATCCAACCAGCCAATCAAAGATCAGTGCGTATTGACGCCATTTAAAAACGTGTATGAATACATGCATAAATCCACAGACCCTCTCTGTGATAAATACATTGTTTCAGTTTGAAATGTGAGATTTATAAATATTTATAAAAATAAATGGAACACCTCTGTTGTATTTTTGTACGTAAATGTTACAATATTATATTTGTATTAATATGTGTATAAATTTGTAACAAAACAAATAAATAATACTGATCGACTTGTATGGATTTTCAGCCAACAAGTACAAGTATGTAGAATGCCCGGTGACATTATGGTCACGTGCCGTCCTTTGGGGTTGTACTTTTTAGTCGTAGATGGAGCAGGGGATGGGGTCTACTTTTTTCATTTCCATGTATTTACCCGAGTTTTAGTAGTTCCATTAATCAGACTGGGTGATGAGTAAATTCAATCTATTCTTATTACCTCTATGCTATAACTCACAGTATAACAGAACAAATTTAGTGATAATTTGGTATATTATGGGATATACAAAATGGGTTGGATGCCATGTCGTCCCATTTTGTTTAATACATGGTCATTGGTTGTGTATGTATCAAACTGAAATAAAGATTGAAGCGTAATTTCTCAAAATATTAAAGGCGTATAGTATTCTACAAATCCAGTTCGTACATGAATAGCCTGAGACACGTCCCTTTTCCCAACAATGCCACTTTGGGGGCAATGACCTCGAATAACCTGACTTAAGGTAGAAGCCTACTCATAAATTAAAAAAACCCAGAATTTATTCATTTTGCAATAAATTGTACTCCAAGGCAATATAAGGATATTGACCGAAAAAAAGATGGATTTTAGTGGAAAATCGCCATTTTGACACTATTATAACGCTTTTACCACAGGTTTCTATGGCAGAGATATTATGCAATATCTCAAAATCTAGCCTGGTGACATAGGCTGAAAAAAATCATGTATTGTTAATGATGGAGTACTTTTTGTTGTTCTGAATTATTTAAAAAATCTGGGTTTTAAAAAGTGTCAAAAAATGCAGTTTTTCTTTAACATTGTGTTCTATGGAAATGTTCTACAAATAGCAATTTTCAAGAAATATTAGGACGCATTTCTCGAAAAGCATAACTGTAACACACAAAATAATGCTATTTCATTGTATCATGAGACATTAGCTTCATGATTGTACATAATAAACTAATGAACATTGTCATGCGATTTATGACCAATTTTGTCAAAAATTATGACTAGGCTTCTACCTTAAAACTAAAAGCTTGAATATCATTGGCCAAAAGTAAGTCATTTGCATATCGGGGTGTCATCCGCGCGCACATGTATAAGCTTTCTCCCAGCAGACGACATTACAGCGTTATCAGTCAGAGTAGAGTGACTGCTGTTAAGCTGAGCGCTTTACTAATCAACTGTTCCCGGTTCAGGACTTCGTTGGATATCGTTGGTTATCGTTGAGGTAGGTGCGCAGTTCAGCTCTTTAAATATCTATACTATAATAATTTTAATGTTAAACAAATTCAAGGCTCAATACAAAACTGGCTAAACATTATTCGGTTGGTTATTGTTAATTGTTAATATTAGGGCTTGTTTTGCCAAAAGAGTCTGAAAATTATATTCTGAGCAACGTGTATATTAGGTGAGGCCTGGCGGCGGAGGAGGAGGAGAAATAAAATTATTACTAATAATAATGATATTCGAATTTCAAACTCCAGCGCTCAATGAATTCTGGCCAGGCAGGGCAACCTATAGTCGAAAGTGATATGGCAGGTTAAAATTTCTGTTCCCAATGTATGTACATTTCATATTTGTTATCCTGCATAATTAACTAATTTTACTTTTGGGCATAAAAGTATTACGGACCGTTTATGACATATAGTGCAGATAGTATCCTCAAATGTACAATTTCAGTATTCATAGCTGCTGTTATTGTGGTTACCAAAACAATGGTCACCCAGACTGCTTCGATAAGCAAAATTTTATCTGTAAGTCTTTAATCTAAGTTATCACTCTACTTCCTTAAAAAGTACAAACAAGATTACAAGCTAACAATATTTTTGAATCATACAAAGTATGTGCGTTGTATGATATGCGTTGTACGTCATTTGCACTTTTAATCTGGTCTAAATGATAAATTGTTTAGTAGATGTCAAGACATAATTTCTCCCAGTGACGTCACCGCTTATTAATCAATGACATTTCATTGTCTGAGCAGATTTATATTTCCAATAAATATCAAAATGTTTGCAGTCATATTACAAGACATTGCGCAGTATAACATTTTACTGCATTCTTTATGATTCAATGTTGTGAATATTTGAAATAAATATGAAGATAACAGTACTATATAAATTTCAATTATTTGCTCTACTTCACAGATCATAGAAAGAAAGATGAATTGTAAAACATTATCACTGCTGTTTTGCATTTGTACTCTGGTATCGTCAGTCTGGTGTGCTGCCATAATCCCATATGAAACCGTGAACTCAGTCTTGCTAGTTGATAGTGAACCGAATAGTCTAAATTCAATTAATGCTGAAGAGATTATAGAAGGATCCGGTGCTTCCGAACTGGTAGCAAATGGTATTATAGGACAGTTGGTTATCAATGATGCTGTTACTGGCATGACAGTTTCATATGAAAATGAAATTGGTTCGGGTGGTGAAGAGGAGGATGCAGATATCGCTTACAGTATTAGAAGACTTAACCGAAGAGATATTCCCTCTTCAAGCTTACAGTATTTGGTGGAACAAGAGGAAGGTTCTGGTGAAGAGTGGGCAAATAATTTGTTGCCAAGTGATGTGATATTTAATGAAATTGCACCATTGTCAGCTGATCAACTGTCTGAGAACACTGGTGTAAATGCAGCCTTGATAGAAAGTAGGGAGGAAGGTGGGTCTGGTATGGAGGATGAGAACTTTCTCCCAGTGCAAGAGTTGCTAGAATTGGCCAAGAAGCAGTAGAGTAGAAATGTAAGTATCTCAACTGGATATTATTTTTATAGGTTAGGTTCTGTATGGTCATCTGTCCATTGCATTTTTTCAGAGGTTTTTGGGCCATTTTTTTTATCAGATTCTTATCTTGTTCCACCAATATCTCAATAACCACTCAGTGGATTGGAATGCAATTTGGTGCACAGTATACACTATGATGTACTCCAGACAAAAGCAAAACTCATTTGCAATGTAGTGTTTGAAATTACTACCCCTCCATACGTCTGAAATGAGTAACTTAACTTTGATATTTTTTCATGGTCTGCTTCAATAACAATTTCGAAAATACAATGTTGCTGAATAATATTATGGGATAAAGCTGAATGCCATTCTCCTCCTATGGCTTATACATTTAGATCATGAAACAAAGAATGCAACAATTTAAATTAAATCTATTTTGTGTTTTGGTAGGATATTGAGTTTTTGTGGGGCTTACTTGGAACATTTCAAAATAATGGTGGTAACTTTCTGGCAGGGTGGTAAAATTTGAAAGATACCTGCCCTGGTGTCTGTAAAAAATTTTGAGAAATTGCAAATGTGTCTTACAATTTATATCAAAGTTGCAAAGAAAATCGATTGGGGGATCACGATTTGCATATTTTCTTGCCAATCCTTTACAACAACAACCTATTTTTTGAAAAAAAGATAATATTACTTTAGAACTGTACTTTGAGGCTTTCTTTAATTTGTCACTATTTTATTTTGTGTGCAAAAAGGCACACACTTATAAATATTTTAGTTTCTCAAATGAAAATTTCCCTAGAACCTAGTACTGTAAAATCATTAATTTTCACTGGCATTTAATCACTAATTTGATGTCTGAGCCTTTTCACTGGGTTTTTGATTTACATAGTTAATGAATTACTATTGATTTCCCTGCATGGTTGCTATTGTTTTAACAGTTTTAAAACTGTGAACAACATAAAATAAATAGCATAATTGATCTATCTGACATAAAGTTTTTATTGACACACAGAATGAAGAACAGTATCGAGCAACCTACATAACGTTAAAAAGGAAAGAGAACTACACACAGAAATACTTGCTGATTCTACTAGCATATTCGAATGACTATCCTGCTTACATGCCAATATAATATTTTTGTCTATATATAATACATAGTGCACTTAACATTTTTATGAGCCCATCTCAAGCATTCATTTTGATTTCAAGACAAGGGGGAAAATTAGCATTATTTAAATTCTTCTTTTTTTTAATCTTTATCTATATCTATACCATAGTACTGGTTACTGTGATTTTGTAAAAGTAAATTTTGATTTGTATCTTTTTTCCTAAACCTGAACCATCATATTTATTCCCTCAAGTCAGTGTTAAGAAGTATGTAAGTTTGACATGGCCAGAGAAATAAATTTGTGATTTATTGCCTGCATTTCATTACAATTTTGAAATGTTGCAATGAACTATATGTATCAACAAGATATGTTTATTTTTACCTACTTACTTACTTTCACACAATTTTTAACTTTTACAATATTTGTATAAATACGAGTATGTTTGGATGAATGATATGCTATCCAGGAAGAATGGGCATGTGTTTTTAATTCACAGTAAATTTTGGTCTCATAATTTAGAAAATATATTTAGGAATACTATTTTAAGATGCAAAATGGAATAGAACATCTTAATGTTGTTGTCTGATACTGTATGTTGATAAATACATTGGACTAGGAATTATGACCTGAAAACGCTGAAACAATGTACTTGACATGTGCACTGGTTGTTTTGTAGAACAATACAAATTAGTGATTTTGGTTTTTCATCAAACGAATACTATTGCATGCGCTCCTTGTGTGTCACAAGCTGATTTGGTCTATTTAAAAATATATTTTCTCATACATATTGCATCTTTAATGTAAGTTGAACAGGATGCAGCTGCTGTTTTGGTTAAAATATTTGTTTCCAGTTTAGGATAGTCGTAACAAACACTGTCTAGTATGTAAACATGTTTATTAAATTCACTCAGACTATAATAACATGGGTGTGTTATTTGTATTAATATGAATGTCCCTTTATAACTCAAGATGGCAAGTTAGGTAAACAATGATTGGTAGTAAAGTGCTGCCTATTTAATAAACCATCGTCCGCCTGCACGGTGTTGTTCCGTTCGGACATTCCTCCCTCTACAACACCGTGCGGTAATACCATTCATAATCGTGTATGTCACGTGGTTGCGCAATAGAAAGTTTACCGACCAATAGAAAGCTTTGTTACAAAGACTGGCAGAAAGCGCTCGGAGCTCTGTATTTCTGATGTTTTCGGCTTCATTACTGCCGATATGTGTTGCAGTGATATCACGAGCTTTGGGGTATAACACCTACTCTTCTATAGTAGTCAACAGTGGTGACAACACTATTACCACTATTAATATCAGTGAGTTGCATGATGTATGGATATTGTCGCTGTATCGCCTCGACATCCAAGCCAACACAGCTTTAGCT